TTAATCTTGTGAATATTGATTTATCGTCGGCATTTTCGTTAATAAAAGAAATCAACTTTATCCCTTAATTGTCAGAGTTTATTCTGTCATACTTACGCGAAGCCGTTGAAGAACCGGAACACCAGGAACACCCAGAAATATTGCACGAAGGAAGAGACGATGCCTACGACGCCGTCCATCAGCAGCGTAGCAATTAACACGATCTTCCTGCCCTTCGTGTCAGCCAGGCATCCCCATATATACGATCCAATCAACATACCTGCAAAAGTAACTCAACCTAGACAAAAATTCTTCTCACAAAAATAAAGTCAGCACCGAGAAAATGGAAGGACACCAACCTAGCATCGGGGAGGCGGTCAGCCAACCCTTCGCGGTGGAGTCCATCTCCAGGTCGCATTGCGCCGCCGGGAGTACGAACGAAAGTATCGTCACGCCGATCGCCGTGTCCATGTAAATCAGGCCGCAGACGGTCAGCAGCATGTAGTGGAATCTTCCAAAACCTAAAAACGCAAAGGATTTAACCCGTGGATAATTGTAATTTATGTCGCGGATTATCTCACACACGAACGAGCAAATACAAAAATTCCGATATCTTTTATATTCTTCTCTTACATCCTGAAAACTTTAGCGAATTATTGCGAGATATTTGTGTCTCAAACTAAATTACAAGATTACAGGATATTAGACATTAATTGAATTTTAAAAATAAATTGGATCACTTGATTTAATTTCTTTAACGGTTCTTTAGGTCGATCTTTAATTTCTTTGGAACTCTTACCTGTTACGGTGATTGCATGCTCGAAGTCGGCACCTCCGTCTGCCAGGAAGTCGAGTCCTGCAACAAGAAGAATAAAAAAAATATATATAAATAACATCTTTCAACAAAAAATTATCCTACATTTTTAATAATTTAATAAATTGGAATAAAAATTCAAAAAAATACGAGATATACACATTTTTACAGAAAAACCGAAACTAAAAGTTATATGCGTAATAGTGAAATATCACGTCATTCGTACGACAATATTCGTGATATTGTATTATCCACAATTGTTATTTAAACAGCCAAATGTTGAGGTGGAACTCACCCATGGTCGCCGCTTAAATCGCTGGACGTTCTGCAGGTGCTCGCGCGCCAAAAGTTCTTTGTGGACGTGCCGTCGCAGTGCCGTCGCTTCCTGCTGCTGCTGCTGCTGCAGTTGGCACGCTGATGCTGTCCTTGACGAGGGCGACGCCCCGCGTTCATTGGTGAACGGTGAACACCCAAGGTGATATCCCGTCGGCGTCGCTGGCCGTGAATTCCACCCCTAACCGTGTGGGCCAACCCCCGTGGGAAGAGGCGAAAAACGGGTCGAACGATCTACGTCGACGGATATATCCGCGAAGTTCCTCTCTTCGCGGAGTTCTTCCCTGGCCGTCTGCGGACAGGAAAGACGGACGGTCGGAACAAGCGGCCGCTTCCTCGCGCGGTAGCGACCAAAATGAATGATCATGGACCATGGAACGGCGTCGAGCACCTTGACTTCCAGAATCGAGCCTGAGGCTGATTCTGAGATAAGATATCATCCGCCACCGCGAAAAGGGGGGAGCCTTCGGCTTTTCCCGAAATGATAAAATCCGCGAGGAAAGAAAGTGAGAGATTTAAAGGCGTGGAAGAAGGCGTCTTCTGATAATTCAAGCGATCGAAAAATAGAAGATGAAAAGGGCCTTGATACGCCAAGTGAGCCTTTCGCAGAATACTTTGACAATTTTCAAGCGAAGCGGTAGCGGCGCGACGCCAAGTATATAAAAAAAAAATAGGGTAATAATAGAGTTAATTTAAAACTATTATATAGATACGAGATTCGTTTGTACTAAGCGGTGATATAAAGAGAGGAAAACAGGGCCAAGATGCGAGTAAAAGAAATGTAAAACAATTAGTAAAGTAAAACATACCTTTATTTTAATTAATAATTAAAAACAGAATCATTTGCTAATAACTTAATATCTTTAGTAATTTAATCAATTATTATACCTCAAGCTAAAGGATTTGAAAGGATTCAAAACTGCATGGATTTTTCATCGCACCACGACCTGTTAATTTTTTTTTTTTTTTTAATGAAATGTATTTTTAATATTCTGCATGTTTTTCTTCGAGATTTTTCTGTTAATATTTTGACGATAACTTCTGGATGCATACGTAATAAACGTGTACACATTCTAATGCATAGTGATTGCTTTATTTATGACGTGAACTCGCAAACACGTAATTTACGATCCGAGCACGCGGAAGTTGACGAGCACAAGTCGTCTTGTTTGTCCGTTATTATTTCGTCGCAATTTCACGAGATAACGCGCCCCTACACGAAATTGTGTCATTCGCGCAATATTTTATTACGTCATTAATTTGCTCGAGTTTCGAGTCGTGATAAGGAGATAAGAGATCTGCAGCATCAGTAGCAAAGTTGTCTGTCATACTAATTTATTATTGCGCATGAATTATGAATATATTATTTATCAATCACGTTAATAAATCCGCGGCGAATTTTATACTTTCGACGTTCACCGCGCAATAAATTATTTATTCATTTTTATTCGTTGTTTTGATTTGTTCTTAATTGCTCTCATTCATTTTGTAAGGCAATTTTTGAGAACTAACTGCACATGTTAAGACTGATATAAAATACATTTTTTTAAATATTTTTCATTTATTTGGCGACAATCACCAGGGAATTTATTATCCACACATTTTTCGCAGGATCGATTTTCTGTGCAACATCTTAACAATATTTTATCATTATCATCCGTATAAGAAGAGAGCCTGTCTCGAGGTTCGTGAATCTGATTTCTGAAAATGATTCCTCGCGCTAAATATAGAAGATAATAACGAACCCTGATTTCAAGTATTGTATTAATGATACTCATCGAGATGCGTCATATGGAAGATCTGTGATGTCAAAGATATGTCGTATCTCGTATTGGGATATGAATTAAGAAATCGTCACGAGTACGAATATTCGTATCGGAGATATGACGATAACGCGATCGTCCGATACGGCTGAGAAAAAAAATACGTAAAATGTCCTGAAATTCGTAGGTAATTTTATGAAATCAATAAATCGATTGTAAAAGATTACTGTAGGAAAACTTAATCAATCTTATGAAATTAAAGATGATTGTGCGAAAAGATGTTTCTGACGTTTCTCAACATAATTCAATATCATGGAATTGTGTCAGAATTTTTACGAGTCCTGGTGAAAATTCTTCTTAGAACTCTTCATAGTTCTTCAGAATTTTTTTCAGAATTTTAGAATTAATTTTTTAAAGGATGTTAAAAAAGAGCCAATTTTAATCCAAAAAGGTATATGTAAAAACAATAGTGTTTTTTATAATTTTTGATTTCCTAAATACGACAAAACTATTAAAAAGTTCGTATTTAGTAAAAACGCTGTTTTGAGTTTATGCTCAATTTTCAAGATGTTCTCCAGGCGTTATGAACTTTTTAATAGTTCTATCGTATTCAGGAGATCGAAATCTGTAAAAAAACACTATTGTTTTTACTTACACTTTTTTAGGCCAAAATTGGCCTTTTTTTAATATCCTTCTTTCTCAGATTTTTATATACGAATTAAAACACTTTTTTCAAAAGTGCTGAGAAAGTCTACATCTTTTCTAGAATTTTTTACATATATAAATCTTGAAATATTCTAAAATTTTTAAGCTTTTTCATTCTAAAATTTTCGTAGAAAACTAATTCGTAGAACAAATTTAAGATATTTTCTTAAAAATCATCATAAATGTTTTAAATACGAAAAAAAACTCTTAAAAATTTTATGAAACATTGTGACAACATAAAACATTGTTTTTTTTTCATCAGTATTAAGGTGCAGAAGAATTTTCCCTTCAAGTTTTAATCAAATAAAGGCAGACTATCAAAAAGTGATTAAAAAAATTCCTGTCTATCTAGATAAAGAAAAGTCTCAAGTCCGCGGCGGTTTCGCTTCGCTGCAAATTTGTCTTTAATTTTACGCGACAAATATTTTGCTAGACAGACCTTTTGCATCAACTTAACGCTTTAATCGTAACGTGTATATCTCCGAAATATTCGCGAGGGGGGGGAGGGGGAAGAGACATCATGTGCGAAGAACGTGACCCCGGCGCCAATGCCGTACTCGTAAAAACGCCAGCGCGATGTTAAAAGGTCGTAAAACGGTAGCACGTGAAAGGTGCCACTCTCCCCCTTCCTTTCTTACGTACTATTTGTTTGTCGCGCTTCTCTCTTGGCAAACAAAACCTCCACTTCAACGGCATTATCTGGCAATCGCTTACGGCCAATCGGGAAGTGTCGGGTGGCGGTCTACTTTGTGCCTATTCACCTACGAGATTAATTCCTTATGTTTTCTTGGAATTTTCCTTAATGACAATGATAAGACATTACGAAAACGTCGATTTGTCATACAATCGTCATTTAGCAGGCACGAATTAAAATTGTGGGCAATTCCGCGCTCCGGAAAAAGCGAGGGCGCCAGCCTATCGACTGATGAAGATCGGTTCAACGTGCAGCGTGCGCTATTGTTATACGAACGATAACGCGGTCGCACCTGACCGGAAAGAATTTTGATTACACGCAAATAGATCGCGTGTAATCAGATCGATGTTGCTGACAAATCTAATCGCTGTAAAATTCCTATTTCGAATCGAAGAAGATTAGTCATTGTCTCTATTTCGGAATTTCCCGATAATATTTCTTAATTCAGTTCTCGTAAACAAATTCTCATATTTTATCTTTTCCAGAATTTCTCATATTTTTAATTTAAAAAGATTTCTATAAAAAAAACTTTCAATCACTTCGAATTTTACAAGTTCATTTTCAGAAATTATAGAATGAGAAATCTTAGAATATTTCAGAATTTACATAAACAATATTTTACAAAATATGTAGACTTTCTGAGCACTGATCATCGAGCCGATTTATCAGTGATGTAAGAGAATTTATTAGTTATAAATATCAGTATAGTAAAAAAGAAAATAATTAAAAATTAATGTAAAAAATTGAAGGATTAATTTCTAGTGTGACAAAGAGCTACTGCTTATAAGTATAAAATCTAGCAATCATACATTCTTCTAAACTATGAATAACATAGTAATACACACATACACACATATGTACACACATATACACACATCTACACTGTGTTTACGGTACGCATTAAACTTTCGCCATTTTGTTTTGTATCTTGTTATGAGTGAGTTTAAGGGCAAAGCGACTGGGCCTGCTCGCCGAGCAATTCAGTCGTTCGGTAAGCGCAAGCTAGCCGTTTTGCACTTTAATCGCCAGCTTAAACGCATAGTGTGATATTTGACAAGTGACTGGTTCAAATTGAAAAAGCTTGATGGAGGGGCCAACGGGAACGAAAATTCAGAGGAAAAAACCTAGCATGTCCATAAATGATGGTACAACGCAAAACAATGAAAATACATTGGATTCGAATACTTATCTATCCTACGACATTTTGAGACTTATCTTTCAACATTTAGATGCTAAGAGTCTGATGAGCGCTGCGATGGTTTGCACGTACGTATTGATGATCTATTAATCCATTAACGATTTAGTTCTAAACACATTTATTTAATACAAGTCGAATGCTAGGTTATCTAGCACCATGTACGTGAATGAATACGAATACATAAGATTTACGAATAATTCCTTGTGGCATTTCATATTATATAATATATGTCTTTAAAAGTTAATTTATGATAAAACTGTATTAGTAAAAATATTTATTAACATCGTTGTATTACGAATGAAAAGTACGTGACATTTTAAGCTAAATACAGCATGAATTTGAGTATAAAAATTTTTTTTTCAGCTCTTGGTTAGAAGCTGCAAATAAGGAAAAATCAACAAGATCAAATCCTTCTTGCTTCACAATATGCTGTGAAGACGAATTCAGCTATGACTTATATCATGTCCAAAATATAATGAAACCATCAGTAGGTTTCTTTTTCGTACCAGATATGCATTATATTACATGCATTATAGAAGGTATATATTTTATGTTCTTTTATATTCTCTATGCTACAAATAAATAACAGATGAATAAAAAGCTCCTGTTAGCAAGTAGATATTTTATTTTAATTTATGACAAACTATTTTTTGGATATTTTAATATTAATTATTTTATTTATTTTTCAATCTAATTATAAGCCATAGAATAATATAAGATTATTGAAACCATTCATTTTTCTTTTTAAGAACTTTTTATAAAGGCTTTGCTACCTAAACAATGTGAAATTATAATATTAAATAGCGAAGATATTATAGATGAAATTAAAAATTTTTTAAAAATTTCAAATATGGTATGTGCGTTTTTGCCACAAATCTCGAACGTGAGGTTAAAATTGTTCGACTTGTCAGAATACAATGAGAATGATCTCATACAGGAAACAGTCGAATTTGAGGAAATAATTAGCACAATTAATAATGAAACATCTACATGCTTGATGTTATTTTATGATAGTTTCCTTAGTGGTATTACAGCAAGTCATTGTGTCTCAGCTATACAACAATGGTATAAATATATATTTAATTCGAGTTTATTATTTAGGTATGTCCTGTTGTACAATTGCTAATGCTCGATAATATATACATATTTATTTCTTTTTTACATATACTCAGCAAAAAAAATAAAGTACTTTCCATCTGGGGTGGAAAGGTGAAGCGCATTCAACATGCATTTACTGAACTACACGGTGCATATCCTGAACATACACAAATGAAACTGTTTAACAGCTTGATTACATGTTGTGCCGTTCTAATTACTGGTCCTATACAGACGTGGTCCACGATTTTGGAATGGAATTGCTGTATAAGGGAACAAGTCGAAAAGAGATTAAAGTTATTTAAGGACAAAGTGAAGCTAAAGAAACATTCCGTAGGATTTATGTTCAGAACTCGAAGTGACAAGTACAAGTACGATGACTCTAATGTAGATTCAATAATATTCAAAAGATTATTCCCCACAGTGCCTTTAGTAGGTTGCTTGGGTGAGCACGACGATTGTCATGATGATAAAATATTCGTGAACCCTACTACCGTCGATGAGATGAAAGAAGAAAGTGAGTAATCCTTTTCTCTCTTTTCCCTTTAGTGAAAATATAATCTCCCGATAAATCGGTTTTCTTTTAGTTTTAGAGAACAATAGAGAGGAACAAGTTTGTAACCTATGTAAATTTGGGTGTGAAACATCTCATTTCTCAAGTCAGCTTTTGATACTTACGTATGATTAACGTCTTTAAAGAAGATATACATATACATAAGACTGCCGCGAACATATTTTACTCGTACATTACTAGATTTAGGTTTTGTATTTACCAGTCGTTTCTGTTGTTAAGGAAACACGCAAAGCAAATAATCGTTCGACATTCAAAAATGTATAGTACAACGAACGTCGTAAGAATAAATCCAAATACAGAAATCTGTATCTTATTCTTATAGATATAATATCTGCGAATGCGTGTTTTGTACGAGTCTTAAAATGTTTCTGATGAATAAGGAAACAAGTTGTACCTTATGATAATATATTATATATTCGTACTATATACGTTTTTCATTTTTTTTTTATTCTTCCACGTTCATTACTTTTCGGAAGCGCTTTTAAATAATGCGAATTAAATCGAGCAAGCAATCGTTCTATTCAGCGTGATTTTTGTTTTAAACAAGCAGTATCAGAAAACGAATGCAAATAATCCACGATACTGAGTTGCTTTACAACACTAGTAACGTAGTATATTTTTATGTTATATTTTTCTATTAAAACTGATAAGAATTAATTTGTATCTGTAAAAACATAAAATTCTAGAAAACATTTATTGCATTTATCAGCGAGCTTTGTTTATAATTGTGACTTTTATTTAAATGTTTAGACAAACCTTTCTGCGGGTGCTTGAATTACTTATTGCCCGAGAGTAGGTATTTTATCCCGATTAAAAAGAATCGATTGATTCGATATTGACAAACGTATTACAGCCAGCTCGTTGACAGACACGTGCACGGGCTTTTGATTACGATCGCGAGAACGAAGTCCAAAAATAAATATGTCGATATACATGTAAATTATATTTCTCTTTCAAAGCCAATTAGAAGAAATTAGATGATTAGAAAAAATTAGCATTTAAATGTTTTTTAATAGCTTTGAAAAATCGTTAAAGCTGTTAGAAGAAAGTATAATATTTCAACAAGATACTACGCAATCTAGATCTAATTTCAAATAAAACACACTTAACTTTGCGCCCTTCGAAATATTACTTTTCACTTTCTGTCTTTTGTAGTTCACTGTCTGTTCTTTTAGTATCACAAATTTGGTCCTTAAAAAATTCAAAATCGTAATTTAGCTTTAGCTCAATTCATTTATCTTTTCTCAATTATAATCTCTTGAGAGGCTGATGTACTATTTCGATAAACGCGTGCTTATATTTATTTAAAAAAAAATTACGTGTCTTTATTTATAGACACTTTAAAATATTTAGTAATAATATTTACAGGTAAAATGTCATTCGAGATATATTTGTTATCTACGTAGATGAATGTCGTGATTGCAATCGTCTGCGCTGTTTATTGTAGGATTTAATCGGACACGAAAGAACCGATAACGCGACAACTCCTTTATTCGGTAGCGACCGATTAATCCCATCGTCCACTAATTGTGCAGTGATGTAATGTCGGGAAAAATACAAAGAGTAGAATCGCAGTCACCGAGATCGTTGTCTTTTCACGAGAGAGAGAGAGAGAGAGAGAGAGGAGGGGGGGGAGGAGTGGGAGCGTGCGATTGTTGGCACCGAGGATTAAAGAAGATCAGTTCTTTTCAATCCGATCGTCGTCGTCGGGACAGATTGCCGTTTCTCGGATTATCGATTCTCTCCGGTAAGCCGGTCAGTGTTGTTTTTTTTTTTTTATATTGATCCTCTTCGGTTATTACAAGATATTTGTAATTTGTAATTTTGATACTCTACTTTCTCACGTTCTTTCACCATTTTTACTTAATTTCAAGCCAAATTTTAGAGAACCTTGATTGTCATCCCGCTGTCATTATAGAGAGTTGTACCGTTCAACGAAACGTTGACTTATTTTTCAAGTCGCTCCTGCGATTAAATACATAAATACCTAAATATCGTTTTTCTATTTTCAATTTTACGTCACGAGGCATCGTGTGAAGAAATTAAGAGAGAGACTAGAGCAGATACACATTTCTCACCCTCTCCTCAGAGAGACGAAGATGCGCGCGCGAAGAGTCGTCGACCTTGAAGTGCCGCGGATCAGGCTCCTCGGAATCGGAACGAGGTACACGTCGACGAAGGGGCGCGACGCTTCCTCGTGGGTGACAGCGGCCTCGCCATTCACCACTTTCGGCGGCCGCGACCCTAACTGCCACGGCCACGAGGCGATATTTAGACGAATATGGGCCAATCGCACAGGAACGCGCAGGGTCGCCAGTAGACTCTTTAGCGCCACGACAGTCTTGGGCAGTAAACGCAAAATTAACAAAATTGTGTTCGAGACACAGCGAGAAAGGTTTGTCGTTTATTTAAGATTCTAGATGATGCTGTGATCCGAGCGTTACAAAAGAACTGAGAAACTTTTCTCTTGAATGGAAATTAAAGACGATGATCAGCTAACTTTCGAAAAGAGATGTAATCTAAAGTTAATTGTACAATTAGGCGTATGAAAAAGTAATAAAACTATATATACACATTTGTATTGTTTGTCTAACTTGATGAAAGTAAAGATAAAAGAGAAATGGAACCCGCGATAAATTAATATCTCTCTAATTGTAAGCAAGTGTGTGACGGAAATAGGAGCATACAAACTGCGACCTTCCAAAGTGAAGCGGAGAGTCGATAAGACTTAATTAGTTCAGCTTAACTAATAAACAATTATTCCGAGAGAATTATTTTAGAACTATATAATTTTGTTTTCATCTTCCTTATTATGACATAAATGATAAATTCTTTGCTACATCTGGCAACTGTATAATTAATTTAAATATCATTACCTAAAAACACGAAGTAACATACTTGTTAGTTGTAATTTCTCACTCAACAATATAACTATAATGTAACGCATATTTATTATATTATAGTCATATTGTTGAGTGGGAAATTAAAACTAGCAAGTATGTTATATGTTACTTAATTAATTTTGTTTGCTAAGTTACATTGTTTTCTCTCCCCTCAATGAATTAATAAATCTCGTTTGGATACGGTTATTATTTTTTTAAATAAATCGAGTAGCCAGTAGACTAGAATGTATTCCAACTAATTATAATTTTCAGCGGTAAATATAAGGATCTCTCGAAAACATCCGATCTGCTCTCTCGCGCGCCGGCCCTGCGGAAGCGATTGGCGCGTACCCGGGACACCCGGGATGCCTTAATTAGAACAAGTATACGATATACGAGCGAAAACTATTAATTGCGGCTCTATTGACGTGTGTCAGCCACACCGAGACACGCGGCAGGTAGATATACATATGCGCGCTCGTGAAGCACATCCTCCGTCCATCCGGCTGACGTCCACGTCTCGCCTTTTGGATCGCGATCGGACCTTTGGAACCATCTGGACAACGTTCCGTCTCTCCGGATCTTCGGACCTTCTTGCGGCGGGCCTTCCGACTTTTGTCGTATTTCCGCGCGGACACGGACAGCTCCCATCGGTATGTACATATACTACCCATTTCCTTGGCAACTCCGCGTCGGCGATAGCGCGTTCCCTCGAGCATTTAACACCGTCGACGTCGGCGATATCAACCGCGGCCGCCGCGGCGACGACAATTGAATATATTGATCCCCCGCGGTTTAAAAGCGCAGCGGAAAATAGCGTGCCGCGCGCGTTAACGAAACGCTCCTCCGACGCGACGCGCGCTGGCGACACTCTCTCTCACTCTCGCGGACGTAATTTCCTGCCGAGGAAATTGTTATCCTGGCAGCGGCCCGCACTCGTCCGCGCTTTCTTTCTAAAAGAGGGAGGAGGGGGAGGAGAGCGCGGGGGCAGTTTTCAATCGGCTTCCCTCCGTCCTTCGGGGAGAAATAAACCCGCGCGTCTCGAAGTGTATTACTTCCGAGGACGGAAAATGTGGATTGATTCGCGACGTTTCGCGAAGGCGCGCGGAGGGACTGGAATAAAATCCAGCGGCATCCGAGAAGAACGATCAGCTCTCTCTTGCCATTTCTGTTGCAGACCTTTTAAGTCTTCCTTCGTGTATCCCTTGTCGACGTTGAACGTTGCATGACATTATTTTCCTTCCGCGAGAGGTACTTAACGCTCTTGGCGCCATGTATCAACGTCTCAACGGTGAAGAAGCGATTATTCGAGATAAATGAGGAAGTCGCGCGTAAAGTAATGAAATATCGAAATCGCGTAAAACTCGTATTTCTTAAGAAAATTTTTACGGGTGTAAAGAAAATTCGAGGGCCTCTCGAGTACAATTCAAGTTTCAATTTCCATTACAGAAATTAAATTTAATAACTGGAAATTACTTGCTTTGAATATTGAAAGCTACACTTCGGTGTGCTTTTAATACACGAAATCAATAATTAATTATAATTATTACCTTCTAGTATTAAATTTCTGTAAGGCTCCACGGCGGCGCATCGTGTTCCAAAGAGAATTTAAGAGGTCCGACACTGTTAAAGCTTCACGGGGCGCGTCGGCGGCCGCGAAGACCTACAAACGTGCGGAGCTTCCGTTGCGTGAATGGCCTTGGTCGAAGCTGCGTATTAGGCCGATAAACGGCGTATTGATCGATTCATTCGACGTTGTCCCCATAAAACTCACTTATTTCCTTACTCGCGTCCGTTCTCGTTCTTTTCCCTCCCCTCGCAATTTATTTATTTACCACGAGGACGAGGACGTGGGGCGCGCGCGAGCGCGAGCGAGAGAGAGAGAGAGAGGAGAGAAG